GCGTATTTCTACGCCTAAACTTTTATGGAACAATTACTTTTGCCGGGAAAAGGTAATCTCGTACTCGTATATAGAACACAGTTTTTTGGGTTTTCTTTTCTTTATTTTCTCTTAATCAGACGAGCACGTGTCGCGAAGCTAACCACGCTAACGAATCTCTCTAGCTTAGGTTGGTAACGCTGCTTGAACCTATGACTATATGTAAGTCCCTACATTACCCCCCTTCAAGTCTTTAACAATACTGACATCAATTTGCGAATATTTGTAAATAACATTGTGACTAAACTAACTTATCCTAATAAAATATAACAATTGGTACAACTTAAATCTAACAGTCTTTGGTCCTTTGTACGTTCTTAATTGCACTTGCCTATTTGCGTCAAGTTCTTCCTGTGAAATTTCAACAAATGCTGGTTTGAGTTTTTCTGTTGAAATATTTGTTGGTACTCCTTTGTAATCAATTTTAAATACATGTTCCGAAATTCTGTTTAATACCGTGTAAGGCCCTTCGTATGGTGCTTCCAAAGGCTTCCTGCTTGCGTCTACCCTGACGAAGACATGTGAACATGCATGTAGAGTTTTATGAACAAATGGCTTTACAATTTTGTGATGTGCGGTTGGTGCTGAACGTATTTTCCTGATATGCTCTCTGAATTTCTCAATGTAATGGTTCGGATCATTAATTACTTCTTCGCTTAAGAAAAACTCTCCTGGCAGTCTGAGCGTAACGCCGTATAACATTTCCGCGGCTGACGCTTTTATATCTTCCTTGTAACTCGTCCTTAATCCCAATAATACTGTAGGTAAAATTTCCACCCAGTCCTTAGTTCCTTAGCACATTATGGCTGCTTTCAGTGAACGATGGCATCGTTCTATTATGCCATTGGAAGCTGGGTGGTACACTGAAGTACGAGTTCTCGTACAACCTATAAGTTTCATTAATGAGTCAAATAGCTGAGATTCAAATTGCGTACCTCTATCGGTTGTGATAGTTAACGGTGCTCCAAATCTGGCTATCCAAACTGTATACAAAGCTGATGCAACTGTATCTGCCATGATATTTTTAATAGGAACTGCTTCTGGCCATCTGGTAAATCGATCGATCATCGTTAGACAATATGTGAAACCCTTGGATTGAGGTAATGGTCCCACTATGTCCATATGTACGTGCTCGAAACGTCCTTTAGGAATATCTATATTTTCTGGAACTATTTTATTATGCCTATGAATTTTGCTTTTTTGACAGGCAATACATATTGTACACCAGTTTCTAATGTCTGTATTCATTTTTGGCCACACGAAACTTTTTGCTATGAGCCTTTTTGTGGATCTATTGCTTGGGTGTGCCAAATTATGGACGGAATTAAATATTCTTCTGCGTAGACTCTTAGGCACATAAGGACGTATATTATTGCCTTTTAAATCATAATACAATTGAGTCTTTTTTTCTTCAACCTGTATCCTTTGTAATTTTAAATGTGGTATAATTTCCTGTAAAATTTGTTGTAATTCCTCATCTTTTGCTTGCTCTGTAACGAGCTCTTCTGTCGATACTAAACAGGCATATCCACTTGCTCTATTCGGGAAAGAGCATTTGCCACTTGATTATATTGACCTGATATATGTATTATATTGGTAGAAAATTGTCCTATGAAGTCTAAATGCCTGAGTTGTCGTGCGGTAGCTTTGTCTGATCGTTGTTTAAATGCTGTTGTAAGTGATTTATGGTCGGTGCGTATAATGATATCTCTTCCTTCCAAAAGATTCCTGAAGAACTTTATGCTTTTATAAATGGCTAGTAGCTCTCGGTCATATGCACTGTATTTCTTTTGTGTTTTGTCCAACTTTCTTGAAAAGAATCTTAGTGGTTTCCATTGTCCATTTTCCTACTGCTCCACTACTGCTCCGATTGCTAGGTCTGACGCGTTTGTTGTCAGCGCTAATTTAGCATTATCTTTGGGATAATGCAGTAACGAGGCTTTAGCTATTTGCTTTTTACATTCCTCGAAAGCTAGCTCAGTTTCTTTCGTCCATTTGACCAGCCTTTTATCATTTTTCTTTGCTCCGACTAACTTAGCATGTAGAGGTGCTTGTGCTTCCGCGGCATTGGGTATGAACCTTCTATAGAAATTAAGAATTCCTAGGAATCTCCTCAAATCGTTGATTGTTCTAGGTTTTGAATACTCCTGGATTGTTTTGACCCGTTCTGTCAACGGTGCCACACCATGTTGGCTTACTTCATAACCAAGAAACCTAACACTATCCTTTGCGAATATACATCTTTTTATATTTACAGTTAGACCATATTCTTGCAATCTTTTGAAAAGCACGCGTAAATGTTGTCTATGTTCTTCTTCAGAACCGGATGCCACCAAAATATCGTCAATATAACAACGTGCGAAAGGTAAGTCTCTTAATACTGTATCCATGAATCGTTGGAACGACTGAGCAGCATTCTTGAGCCCAAATGGCATTTTACGGAATTCAAATAAACCGAAAGGTGTGATCACCGCTGTTTTGCGTCGATTTTCATTTGCTATGGGTATGTGATAATACGCACACGTTAAATCCAGTACCGTATAAATTTTTGTACCTTCTAATTGTTGCGTGATGTCATGAATATGAGGTAAAGGGTATCTGTCGGCTGAGTTCTGCTATTTAATTCGCGATAATCTCCGCATAGCCTCCAATCACCTGTTTTTTTTCGAATATGGAGTGGACTTGCCCATTCGCTCTTTGATTCCTGACAGACTCCTTGTTTTAATAAAAAATTAAATTCTACCTTAGCTGCTTTCAACTTTTCCGGCGTGAGACGTCTTGGTCTTTCTGCAATCGGTGGTCCTTTCTTCACAATATAATGTTGTACTTGATGTTTCACACTGTCATCATAGGACGTCTTGGTTAGTTTTGGAAACTCCTTTAGCAATTCCCCGTAACAACACTTTGCTCACCGTTGTAATGGTTGTATGCTGTGAATCAGTCATTTTTCCTTTAGTACGTAATAAAGTTTGATCGTCTACTAACCTCTTGTGTTCTATGTCCACAAGTAAGTTGAAATGTCCCAAAAAATCTGCGCCTAATATGGCTTTAGTAGTCTTGGCCACGACAAACTTCCAAAGAAATTCTCTGCGTAAATCTGAATCTAGCGTCAGTGTCCTTTCGCCATAGGTATTAATTGTCGAACCATTTGCTGCATACAAACAAAATTCAGGATCTATGTTTCTTTTGTCTCCAAACCTTTTTGGTATTACAGATATATCAGCTCCTGTATCTATTAGAAACTTGATGCCTGATCTTTGATCAATAACCATGAGGCGCGTTTGTTTAATTACACCGTCCTGTTCCGCCTCGAGTAGGGACGGTGATCTTAGTTTTCCTGTTTTCTACATTATGAAAATAGCATTTACCATTAGTATTCCGGCTCCTAGATGCAGAACGATTTCGACGCCAATGTGGTGACTTGGCCCTTTTGTAAGATCTGTAATAAACGCTTCCAGACAGGCCATACGTTGTGTTAACTCTGCCAATTCGCTTTTTTGTTCATGTTGATCTCTTCTAGATGGTCTCTCAGGTTCTGATACGATAGCCAATTCCGGTTGTCCAATCCATTCCATTGTTTTATCAGCTAATTTGGCCAATTTGTCTAATTCGACGTCTTCCAAGACCACTAATACTTCTTGGATTTGTTTCGGTAACCTTTGTAACCAGAGGGTTTTTAAAACCCTGTTGCTTACCTTGTAATTCAAGACCCGTAAGCAACTGTTTTAACTGAGCTTCTTCAGATGCCGCTAATCGAGTGATCAACGCTTCTTTTAATGCAATATAAGCGTCACCTGCTGTTGTAGCATCCAAAATATCTGCTACGACTTTCATTGTCGCGGAATCAAGATTTCGGACTACCGCAGCTGCTTTTACAGCATCTGCTGTGATACGATATGCCGTAAATTCTTTCTCTAACATCGAAGACCATAACTTTGGTTCGTTTTTCCAAAACTGGGGCAACCAGTTGTACATTTAAAGTCGCTAGCCTGGACTTCTACAGGAGAAACCTTTTGTTCTCCCGACGTCGACATTGTTCCTTTATCTTCCATCCAGGGTTTCGGCACCAATTTGTTATGTAGCGTATTTTTACGCCTAAACTTTTATGGAACAATTACTTTTGCCGGGGAAAGGTAATCTCGTACTCGTATATAGAACACAGCTTTTTGGGTTTTCTTTTCTTTATTTTCTCTTAATCAGACGAGCACGTGTCGCGATGCTAACCACGCTAACGAACCTCTCTAGCTTAGGTTGGTAACGCTGCTTGAACCTATAACTATATGTAGGTCCCTACAAAGCTAAGTTCTCGTGATAGCATAACACATGTAATATAAAAATTATTTAAAGTCATTCGCTATGCAAATTATCTTTGTAAATTTTGTTGTATTCAAGATAATGTAAAAAGTAATAGTAAATAATCAAAAATTACTTATTTTTCGTGCAATATTTTAAAACGACCGCATACGGCCCGCGGGCTGGATGTTACCCATACAGGGTCTAGATGTTCGCGATCTGGAAGTCAAATGCTTAGCGTGGCCAGGCAAGGTCGTGTCGATGAATAAGAATTATTTTAAAACGCAAAATAATGATAGTGTACTCATATTGTCAGGTTTACCGCCATTGAAAACCCCTAAACAAATTCATTTCAAAAATTTGTCCTCCAAAAGTCCCTTTAAAATAATCCCAGCTCATACATTTTTTACCTAATCTAGAGTCAAACTCCCCAAGTTGGCAACCATTGCAGTACTATAGTTATAATTAGCGATGTGTGGTCCCAATCTAAAGACGCGCTAGCGACCAATCACAGTATACAATAGCAGAATCGACTACTAGAAATATAAATATAATATATAATAAAACCTGACGCACTTAGTCGCCGGTGAAGAAAAAGGCAAGAGTAATGAATTGAGAACCATGCGTCTTAGAATATAAATAGAATAACTAGAATACTGCCCGTTCAACTTTTTTCGACGCGCATGTGCGACTGGGAGAAGAGTCTAGTAACATTGTATTCTTATACGTTATTTACTTTTGTTGCAAGAATTCGTTTTAATACCAAGTCCTTTGTAAGGATTGGTTATCTTTTTATTATCAAACCATTTGGAAGCATTACATTTGGTAAGTGACGTTTACATTTACTAATAATATGTATGATATTAGTGGTTACTATAAATTTCTTGTTTTTTATTTTAGGTTATCGTTTTGGTCTCAAATCCTTTAGCAGGATTAAATTTGGTAAGTGACTTTTAAATTTAATAATATAATAATATGTATGATATTCGTGTTTATTAAAAATTTGTTTTTTATTTTAGGTTATTGATTGAATATTCAAATTCAACTAAGTGAAATACACTCGATAGCCTGCATTGCGCCGTGTTTCGAGTATAACATATAATAAAAAATAAATCATATACTCTTATAATATCACTCGATAGGCTGCATTGCACCGTATTTCGAGTATAGCGTATTATAAAAAATAAAGTTCATTAAAAACACATTAGAACGCCTGTGTCATATGCCTTATCTTATATCTTATAACACCACTCGATAGACTGCATTGCGCCGCGTTTCGAGTATACTACAAATAAAAAAATAAAGCTTATTAAAAAAATAGCGTTTGCACATCTGTATCATTAATAATATTATTAATATCTTATCGCTCAATTTTAATAATATGCAAATTATAATTGAAGGGGAATGGTTAACAGATGATCATATAGAATATTTTCATTCATTATTACGAGCTAATTCTAATTATAGACCACGCGAGACGTGGAGAGTTCAGTGCCCCGATACAATTTAACCAGTTTCTGAAAATCAGGATCACATACAGATTTTGCATCAATGCGATAATTTCGAAACCAATACAGGGGGACACTGGGTTTGTAACTTTTATAAATATGACGAAAAAAAACTTTATATTTATGATTCCCTTAATTATAAAAAGTTGCATAATCATCATAAGATTTATATTGAAAAGTTATATCCGTTTATGAAAAAACATGACGGCAAAATTAACGAAAAATTAATTGAATTTCCTCATGTGCAAGCTCAACTTAACAGTCGCGATTGCGGAGTTTTTGCGATTGGATTTGCAGTTTCATTATTATTCAATATATCACCAGACAAAGTAACGTACAATCATGCGTTGATGCGTCAACATTTGATCAAAATGTTTAAATCTAACCGTATAGAACATTTTCCACGCATTCAGAATCATCAACAATTATCACGTTGTGTGCATGAATATGAATCTGCAAGTAGTAGTGCAATTAATAAAAATCCCTCTTGTGGAAATGATGATAAAAATGTACCATTTAGAGATAAAGAAGTCACCATACATACAAGTACAATTCAAACAAATTTACCATCCGTTTCGCAGTCAAAAATCAGCAATGCACATGTACCAAGTAATAGAACAGAATACATGTCTAATTATTATAAAAGACATAGAGAGGAATTTAATTTAAAAAGGAAAGCTATTTATAAAGCAAAGAAAGGGAAATGTAATTATTATAACGCATATAAAGAAGTGATAAGCGAAAAGGGAAAAAATTATTATAATGTACACAAAGAAGGTATAATAAAACGGCATAAAAATTATTATCAGCTCACTAAAGAGAGCATAATTAAAAAGGGAAAAGTGTATTATGACATAAACAAAGAAGTGAAATGCGAAAAGCGAAAAAATTATTATCAGCTCACTAAAGTAGGTATAATAAAAAAGGCAAAAGTAGTTTATGACGAAAATAAGGAAGTAATATACAAAATGCGAAGATATTATTATCATCTAAATAAAGAGGTAATCTCCAAAAAGCGGAATATGTACTATGATAAAATACGTAAAGAAGACGATTATAATAAAGTAGCAAAGCGTCGTGCTTCACTGAGAATAATAAAAAAGTATCGTTATATTGCTGTAACAAATAACAATATAACAACCAAAAATCACAAAGAAATGTATATTAGAAAACTTACAAAAATGATTAGAATGCCGTCCCGAGAAGAAAGTAAATTGGAAGCTGAGCGTATAATAAAATGGTAATTTCATATTAGATAAAAGTACATTTTGGAAATGAGGAAACTCTTAAAAGATTGTAAAGAAAAAATGGAAATTTCCTTAACGCGTGCAGCAGAATGTTTAGACAGGACCTAGAGCCAAACTCCGAGTTGACTTCAGCGACAGTCGCGGAAAAAGTAGGAAACTCCGAGACAAGGACAGAGAGGGCGATACAACAACTGCAGGAGAGACGAGGACAGGGCGATTAGGCTAGCATGATTCTTGTCAAGGATATTGAAGCAAAGATTTTCTAATAATTCTGGTTTCAAAATATTCCTTATACCTTGGCGCATGCCACTGTAAGGCTCGATTTCGGAAAAAGTGTTTGTAAACAAATTTATTCTATAAGAAAAACAAAAACCATACTTTTATTATTTATAAAGTTTCAAGACCGCAATTGCAAAATCGGGCGTTACAGTGGCATATGGAGTGATGTAAAGAATATTTTAGAAAAAGAATCGTGAGAAAACATTGCTTCTTTGTTTCAATATCCTTGGCAAGAATCATGCTAGCCTAATCGCCCTGTCCTCGTCTCTCCTGCAATTGTTGTATCACCCTCTCTGTCCTTGTCCCGGAGTTTCCTATTTTTTCAGCGACTGTCGCTGAAGTCAATTCGGAGTTTGGCTCTGGGTCCTGCGCACCCTTAATGCTTTGTGTGGACAATCCAGACATATATCTTCTTCAGAATCATATTTTGCAGAAAGTTCGTACCATACTTTCGACGGTACTGAATCAATTATATTGAATTCGGAAGGGAAACCTATAAACGTTCTACCTGTATTGAAATCGAAGAATACAACAAAAGCATGGTGTTGTAGTTATCTATGTAAAACAAAAGATGTTGAAATTCTAAATAATTTACAGGATTTCTTCAAACAACTGTTGGAATGCTCATTAAGAAAGGTACATATGTTGAGCAACCATATCAGTAGCTGTTCTAATAAAATGCATACTGATAAAGTTGGTCATTCTCATGGTTGTTACATAAACCCTAAATTATGTAAGTCCAATTTTCTAGCCTTAGAGATTTTGGCGCCTTATTTTCCACATTTACGATATTTGAGGAGAATGATATACAGAATAGTGAACATTTGTAAACAACTGTTACATAATTTAGACAAAGCTTTAAACGATAGTGACCTTGATAGACTTCGACGAATAACACAGCAAGCTCGGAAAGAGACTGAAGCATTACAAAAAGATAATACCGAAATAGTAAGCTTGAACGAAGAAAAGATTATATCTCGATATTATTTGGCATTTAAAGCTTTTACAAAGCGGTCTTTGGACACACCACGCCTCCCGTGTGTTTCCTGCGAGAAACTCTGTTTTGGAAGAGAGGTTTTTAAGCTTAATATTTTGTAAGGTGTCAGGGAACGGGAACAGGCACGGGACAGGATTCAAACAAACTGCACGTAAAGAGGGCTATTATAATATATTATTATTTAAACCAAAGTGGTTCGCGCGCAACATAAAGGAATACTTAAAGCGTAAAAGGCGAGATTCCGACCGATCTCGAGGTGCGTTCGACGAACAGTCGCACGTAACTGCCTCGGCTGCCACGAACGCATTTCGGTGTCGTTGAAACAACTGCAGTCCGTTTGATTGTCGTCGAAACAACTGCGGACCTCTTACAGTTCGGCCATCCTGACCATATGGTCGTCCTCGACCATGCCGTTATTTAAATTCTCTTCTTGACAATTTGTTTCCACATCACATTCATTGTCACCTATCCATAATTTCCTTCTATCTGGACTAAAAACCCCAGAAAACGGCTTCGAAGTTAATTGACATCCTTCTATGTCTTTAATTAAATATCTGTCCATTCTCAACACTTTGTCGACTATGTAAAGCCCCTTGTATTTCGGTAAAAGTTTTTGATTTATACCCGGCGTGGTAACAACATTTTTAATCATGACATAATCTCCGGTTTTATACGCATGAGACTTCTTATGTTTCTTATCAAATAAGCTTTTATTATATTCCTGTAACTTACGATTTTGTACAACAGTTTCCCTAAGTTCCTGAAAATATTTTCGGAGATCATCATCAGACAATCCAGGCTGAAGATAACCAAACAAAAGTGAATTCGGTTCGGTTCCTATCGCTTTGTGATACGTATTATTTAATGTAAACTGCGCTTTCTGTAATGCTTTCACCCAAGATTCTCCTGCAGATAATTTAGCTAAAATGGATTTTAAAAATCTGTTGACACATTCTACCTGACCATTACTTCTAGGTGTGGCTGTTGCTGTTTTAACATGTTGGATTTTCAATTCCGACAAAAATTCATTAAAATCGCTAGAGGTGAACAAACTACCTCTATCTGACACTACACGCATACAAGGTCCAAAATGATGGAAGTATTGCTTTAAACAATTTATAGCTTCTTTTACTGTAGTCGATTTCACAGCGTATAACATAACATATTTGGTGAATGCATCTATGACAATAAAGATATGTTTGAAACTATATTCGACCTTTTCTAGCGGACCGTAATGATCAATATGTATTGTTTGAAAGGGCTTGGTTCCCTTATCATAAATGTGAAGTTTACCTTCTATTTTCCCGGTTGGAACTGAATAAGTTAGGCAAGTAATACAATTAGTAATATAATCTTTGACTAAAGCGTGCATGTTCTGAAACCAGTATGTCTTAGAAATTAATTCTATCGTTTTTTCTTTGCCTACATGACTAACGTCGTCATGACAAATCTTAATTACGTTATTAATCATTGCTTGGGGTACAAAAAATAGTATTCTATCTCCGTATTTTCTATAAACAACGCCATTTCGTCGTTCAAACTTTGCGTTTTCGGAAACTTCGAGTTCTGTATGCAGTTTCATAATTGTAGGATCTTTTAATTGTTTATAAACTAATATCTGTTCGAACGATAACGGCTCAATTACTAATACGTTCCGGCTTAGAGCGTCCACGTGACGCATACGATCAGCTGTTCGATGCTCTATCTTATAATCGTAATTTTGTAAAATTAAACACCATCGATTAATGCGAGGGTTAATGTCCTTTTTACTTAATGATAATTTTACCGCGTTACAATCAGTTACTATAGAAAAATGTATCCCTTGGAGATAAATGCGAAATCGCTCTAGCGCATAAATTATAGCCAGTGTCTCTAACTCATAACTGTGATAACGGTTTTCTGTGTCTGCCGTTCGTCTACTAAAATACATTACAGGATGCATACGTTTGTCACTCTGTTGTTGCAATAAAACAGCGCCATACCCGTACGAACTAACATCCGTATGGAGTTCCGTAATCGCGATTGGACTATAAAAAGCTAGTATCGGTTTGCTTATTAACAAATTTCGTAACGATTCGAATGCAGCTAATTCTTTGACTCCAAATTTAAAGGACATTCCCTTTTTAACCAAATCGTATAATGGTTGTGCAATTCGAGCGAAATTAGGTACAAACTTTCTGAAATAGCTAGTAAGGCCTAAAAAACTTTGAACCTGTTTTCCCGTCTTAGGTTGTGGGAAATCTTGTATGGCTTTAACATTCGACCCATTCGGTGTGATTCCATTAATATTAATATTGTATCCTCAATACTCAATCTCTCGTTTAAGAAATTTACATTTGCTGAACTTTAATTCCAAATTATGCCTGCCCAATAGTTCCAAAACCTCTTTTAAAATTTCTAAATTTTCATCAATATTTTTGGTGGCGATTAAGATATCATCTAAATACAGCAAAACCTTTCCAGATTTCAACAGTGGCCTAAATATTAAATTAACAAACCTTTGAAAAGCTGCAGGTGCATTTGCGAGTCCGAACGGCATTTTTAAATATTTAAACTGCCCATCAGGCGTGACAAAAGATGTAAATTTTATCGAGTCTTCGGAAATAGGAATGTGATGAAATCCATCTTTTTAATCTAAATTTGTAAAATAGGCACTGTTAGACAATCTATTAATTTGGTCCTCCATCAACGGAAGAGGATACCTATCTTTCATCGTAATTTTGTTCAACGCTCTATAGTCTATACAAAGTCTATAACTACTATCTTTTTTCCTCACTAAAACAATCGGGCTACAAAAATCTGAATTGCTCTGTCTAATAATTCCTCGGGACAACAAATCATGAATAATTTTCCGGACTTCCGTCTTTTCATGCCACGACAATCTCCTTGGTGAAAAATAAAAGGGTTTACTATTTTCGGCGAGTGTAATTTGAAATTTATAATCCACCGGTTCAGCTGTACGTTCTGAATTTACATAATTTTTTAATAATTCTATTAACGTTTGCTTAACTTCAACGGATAGCGATGCATCGAAATTCTCTATGGCTGTATCTAATTTCTCTTTCGTTTCTATGGACTCAATATTTAGTATTTCGTCTCTATACTCTCGATCATAATGAATGCTTATTGCTTTACTAAGAACAACAGTCATTCCAGGTCTCGTCATAAATTCACGTCCTAATAAAGCGCTGTACGTCATCGTCGAGTCGGGTACTACCATAAATCGTACTTCAAAAAT